ACAGCTCATTACTCTTTGCTAGCAAACTGAAACTGAATACAGTATTTTTAAAAGGCGCCTTGGCAAGTGTTTTCCCAGTTTTCAATTGAGACACTTCCTTTTTAATCAGCTTATCTGATTGCAAAACATTATTTCTCATTTGTGAGTTCACTCCCCCCTGCCAGGTTATTTTCTTGTTATTGGTGAATGAAGGTAAAAAATATGGCTGTTTTCATCCTCAGCATGACCAAATCTCTGTGAAAACAGCATCCAAGCGAACAGATCTTTGGATATATTTATAGTTAACCACTGTGCAATGGGGAAAATATTATACTTTTGTTAAATCATACTAGAGTCAACTGTAATAGCAACTGAACTGTTGATAGCCTAAATCTATTTACAGTTTAGGAGACTGCTTTCTTGTGAGTGGCAATTAAAGAAATCAAACCAGGCTTAAAACCCTTGACACAGTCCTTTAAACATGTGATGCTAGCTTTGGTTGTATGTCCACGATCTAGAAGATCAAAAAAATCAAAGAGATTCCAATTTCTAATAGTTGGCCATCCTCCTAAAAGGGAGTCCTTATCCGATTTATGTTTAGCTCGTGCTATTAGTGTTAGCATGATACTAAGCACTTGTACAACACTTTACAACACCAACAATTTGGCTAAATGTTAGTAGTTTTACTATTGCTACTGCCATGGCATTTCCAGTATTTTGGTAAACAAAATGAAATTCCTTTAGTAGTTTGATTTTTTGTATTATATTCTCTAGATTGAGTGCTCTACAAGTCTAAAACATGAATATAAATTCAGCACCGTAGGCTGCATGAAAAGCAAACTATTAAGATGAAAAGCCAATGACAAAAGCTGTACAGCTTTTGTTCCCATGTTTAACCTTTGCCTTAAAGCTTAAAAGCAACTATTTTCTAGAGTGTTTCAACTAGCTAGTGAAATTATATTCTCCGACTCCAGTTTAAACATTAATGGTGAACCCATAACTACAAATCTGCATTGTCTAATGTATCACTGATAAAGATTCATTTCTGTATAGCCCCTTACTAAAAGGATCCAAAAAGCCCTTTAAAAGTGTCATTTCACCCATTAATGAAATACAGCCACCTATGGGGTGGAATACAACAGCTAAGCGCATCATCATAAAGTTTAGGACACATTTACAGGTATTGAAGGGTTACTTCTGAAAACACTTGGATTTAATATTTATGCTTTTGTTCCCACCACAGAGAGCCGTAGTTAATAACAAACCTTTCCTATATTTTATTATGTCTTTATATCCCTTATACATGTGAGGAACTCTACAAGAGTCTGCAAAGTTACTACACTCTGCTTCATCTCTCTCCTTAAAACCCACTTATGCTGTGATGATCAAAACCTCTCTACAATGGCTAGGCAGTTGTTAAGCAGTGATAACACATTATGGTTATCCTCTCACTGTTAAAGAAAGGGGGAGGGCACAAGATTATCCACCTATTGTCTCATCTTATACTAACACCATAAGCATTTTGGGGTAAGGGACAGTCTGTTCTGTGTATTTATAATACACAACTCAGCTGGAGCCTCTAGGTACTACTATAATACAAATGAATAAATACAAATCTTGTTCTCTACATTCATCAGCAATGAGACTTGCTACATCACAAGAAAATGCCTTCACTTGTAATGGAGAAAGAGGCCCAAATAGGGTTTACTACCATTCCAAATAGCAGTGGCTTTCAAGTGACCGGTTTTTCCATAAACAGAGCAAGTATGAGACAGTAATGCAAGGTCTGAAACCCAGACCAACAGGTTTGTGCAGCTTTAGCAGAGCTTCTTTGATTTAGTAATCAAGTTGGAGAAAAATAAGCAAGATGCAACTCCTCCTGTCAAGCATATCTAATAGTCAGCTGATTGTCAGTGCAGTCAGGCCCAAATTCAGAAATGGGGAAGTGAGTTTGCTGGTTCACTGAGCTATAGCTCAACGAAACATCCAGCCAGTTGGACAACTTTTATTTCCATAAATATAGAACCATCATTTTGGTTGGAATAGTACCTACAAAAGATTCTTTTACAGAACTGAAAGATCAGGATGAGCATGGAAGAGTTTCCCAGAAGGTTTAACTGACAATGTACAGCAAAGTCATCTTAAGATTCTTATAACATATCCAATACATAAATTCACAGTGGGCAACACTGTGTCTACCTTTCCTGTCTACTCTAAGGAGTGATCTGCTGCTTAGATAACAGGCTGGTTCTACAACATGGGTATACATTTTATATTGATAAATTCAGATCTAATCCTAAATAGGGTCATAAGAGGGCAGTGGTTGTTACAATGATTCCCCCCCCCCCCCCTGCAAAATAAGAGTAAAAAAAACTTAAGTAACTGAAGATCATAGATCTCATCTGCTTTCTGCAGTGCAGCCTCTGAGTACTCTGGCCATTGGTGTCTTTCAGGCAGTCCAAAGATAGCAACCTGAAGGGCAACACACTGGAGTGGGACAGCCAGAAATGACAACCCAATTTTTGTAAGTCCCACTGAACCATGCTAAAGCCTTGAACAACAGAGTCAGGAGACAGCTAAATTGCAACAGCTCCTCTGACTAATTGTCACTGTAGTGTAAGTTGGCCCATACCCTAAGCACCAGCATTATCAACACAGATTTGGTGATAAGGTGTCAGCCTCCGATTCTGCAGAACAAATATTGTAGGTCCTATACAAACAGGGGAGGAGGAGTGTTTAATCCACTGGGTGGGGGTGGGAGGAGATAGAGAGCAGGAATAGAAGATATCACCCACTTTAAGGTAGGTTGAAGATTGAGTTCAATCTCCTCATCCATAAGACCTCCCTTATGCTCTTTTTTTTTTCTTGCATTTCCTTCTTCTGGAGATAAATGTGTAACATTTGGATTAGAGAAGTAATCAGTTTATATAAATTTAAACTAATTTTGCATTTTTCCATACAAAAGACTTATCCTTTAATATCTCCAATTTATACAATTTTTGGAGTGTTTGTGATTTAAGATGGTGGTTTAATAATTCAGTGTAAACAGTAGTGTAACCAAGACAAGAGCATTGGATGTACTTAAATTAATGACCACCAGGATGGCTTTTCTACAGTGCAAAAAGGGAAATGGATTGTAACTTGCCAGGTAACAATTGCTGTTGTAACCAGATTCCCTGACTTGGTTTTAGTTGTAATATACATTTACCCTGACATATGGTTGTATTTAGGGAAAAGTAAGGTTAAAAAGCTGCTTTCCAAATGGAAGAACATACAGAAAAGTTTACTTAAGTTATTGCACAATTAAATATAGGGAGAGAAAACCTTTACATTTTCTCTTTTGAGGTTCATCCTTAAGTACTATGACAGGAACATTTCAGAGCTCCTTTGCTATTACAAGGTACAAACTAATATTTTCAATCCAGTGTTCAGTACATGCAGATTTCCACTATAGCATTACAGTATGTGGTTACATCTGAAATATTTTCAAAATAGGCAATTTAAGTGTTTGATTTAAAGTTAGTAAATACTCAATGTCACCATTTCACTGTGCTTTTGCAGCATGTCTTACTTGTGAAGATTTCCAACTGCTGTTTCATTCGGCAGAAAGATAAATGTTAAATAGACCATTTTGTACATTCTGATGCATCTTTAACAAAACTCAGTTGAACCAAAATGAGAAAAATCTGCTTAGGCCTTGGAAAACAAGGAATTTCTGCCTTAATCTTCCGGGAGCTTTATGAAGTGACAAGACAGGAAGTGAGATCAGTGGGAGTGAGATAATGGTTACAGTAATCCCTGGAGCAGAACTCCAACACAGTATGAGGCAAGTAATGCAATATTTACTACTGCATAAAATTGTGCTTATGAGCCGATGTCAACCCTTGAAAAAGCACAGTTCTACCTGAACAGTGTTTAACTTGTAAACTGTAATAGGAAGTGACTTCTACTCTCCCGCTGCATAACCACTAGTTATTTTATTCAGGAGCAGAGCAGCAGCACTGCACAAAGATCATAACCCACGATGGCTGTTTCACATTAAAACTGCCCCAAGATTTAGTTGGTCATTTTAGAGTCAGCTTGTCGAAAGCTACAGCCAACCACTCCAAGGCTAGTATATCAATACTCACACCTCCATATTTTAAACCAACACTCTACAAGGGCAGAAAATCTGAAAGGGTTTCTGGAGTTTTCTCTTTGGTGATCATCACTCAGCCTTCTTTGAGCAATAATAAGGCTCCCTCCAAAACAGATAGCTTTAAATGGCAGGTCTCCATCTTATAGTTTGATTATCATTAGAAACTGAAATATAAATGTTAAATTACTGGTTACCCTATCAAACCAAGAATAAGCATCTCTGCAAACCATTTCCTCAGTCCCACAAAAGAAAACCAATCTTGGGGTTTACTCAACCCCCCAGAGAGAAATCAAAGACAAGGAGGTTGCCCTGGGAGGATGACGGAAGTGGCTTACGAACTAGTTTTTATAGTGAAGCAACCTCCGGAATACACTTCAGGGCATCCTCTCAGCCAACGTCAGAGGCGGGGGCACACCAACCAGTACCACCAAGAGACACCTTGTCCCAGTCCACGACGCGGGTAAGGCTAGGTCAGAAGATATTGGAGAGGAGTCCGATTTCCCCGTGGGCCTTTCAATTCAGGGCCCTGGCCCAGGGACTGGAGCATCCCAGGGAGCATCTTGCACGTTCACAGGGCTGGCCCAGAAAGGGAGGGGGGCTGCTCCTCCCTCTGCTCTCGCCCCCCCCCCCCCCACTTGGGGGAGGAGAGGCTGGCCCAGAATGGGGGACGTGCCCCAAGAGATGCTCCGTAGGGGCCCCTCTCTCGCGGGGCAGGGGCTCCGGGACGAGCTGTCCCTGCTGCGGACGGCGCCGAGGGTTGCAGGGCCTGGGAGGCGATTCCACTCCCCTCCCCGGAGAGGTGACCCCTCCCCGAGGGCAGAGCCCCCCGCGGGGCCGGGGCCGGGGCCGGGGCGTGGGCGGGGCTGGCGGCCGGCCCGCCTACCTTTGAAGAGATAGTCGTACTCGTCGTCGCGGGTGCCCATGGTGCGCGGAGCCAGAGAGGAGCCGCCGCAGGAGTCAGCAGCCGAACCCGGGGCCCCTCCTTACGGCCGCTGCGGCACTTCCGCTCCCGGCGCCCCGCCCCGCCCCCCGCCGGAGAACTACTTCCGGGGTCACCCGCACGGCTGCCGCGCCCAGGGAGCAGGGCCGGGGGTAGCCCTTCCGGGGTCACCACGCTGACTCTGCCCACGGGCGGGGCGGGGCCGGGCCGGTCTCCCTCCGCCTCCGCCGCCACCTCCCGCGCTGGGGCGGGGCTTTGCGGGCGGACGCTCCCGCCCCGGCCCGTGCCGTGATTTCGACCCGGCCCCGACAGCGCCGTATCGCTGCGCGCCTCAGTGCCCGTGTCTCCGAGCGCTGCCCCGGCCCCGGGGCCTTGCAATAGGCTGGGGCCCTGAGGCTCCCGCGACTCCCCTCCGTGCCCCACAGACGTGCCCCCCCCCCCGTAGCCCTGGCCATAGGGAGCCCGCCTGCCCCCCGCTCCCCTGGGACCGCACCAGCGAGGGGCCGGGACTGGCTCTGTCCGCCGCTCCGCCCCCTTTCGCCCGCTCCTGCTCTGAGCCCCTGGGCCCGGCCCGGCGGGGCACACACCGGGCTGCTCCTTTCGGCTCCGCGGCGCCGGACGGGCAGCACCCCGCAGGTCTCAGCAGGCCGGGCTGGGGAGCTGGGTCGGGGCACCTAGCCGCGGGTCGCTGGCGGTTGGTCGGGGCCCGCCCGCAGCAAGGATGAGAGGCCGCGGGGGCGCCTTACCGCCCAGGCGGTTCCATGGTGTAATGGTTAGCACTCTGGACTCTGAATCCAGCGATCCGAGTTCAAATCTCGGTGGAACCTGTTCCTTTTCGCCCTCCCCCCGAGCTGCACAGAGAGGGAAGGTTTCCTCTCCATCTCACACAGCCTTTCCCGTGAGTTTCTAGTAACAGAATCATTATTTTCAATAAAAATAAATTGTTTATCACTTTGGAACCTTACCCAGCCTAAGTGCATGGGGGAGTTATTGTTCGCATCCCAGTAGTTGATATATAGTTCTTCTATTGCCATTATTAATTATTATTAATGTCTCATTAGGGGTGGGTTAATATTCAGAAGGTGACAACGTGTGAAGCCATGCAGCCGTTTCTTTACAAAGAGCAGCCTAGAGCTAGCTCAGTTGGGAGAGTCAGCCAGGCTCCCACACCCCTCAGCAACAGCACAATGTGGGCTGAAGCCATCCAAGGTACAAGCAAATCAAAGCTGAGTTGGGGCTTGAGTCCCTTTGCCTCGGCTAAGTGGAATCTCTTCAATACAGGTATTAGCAGGGAAGTACTTGAATTAACAATGTGCAGCCTTCACATAGCTTTCTTTGGTCTTATGACTCCAAAGCACCCTCTGGATGCTTTGCGTACAAGTAACTCATCACCCACAAGGTGTGAACAACATAGCACAGGAGTTTTACATGGTGGGTTTTGTACTTTAGGTATTACCAAGCATGGCACTCTGTGCAACAGTCAACTGAAGAAAATGGGCTCCAGATGTGGGAGTCTCCTGTGAGAAGTCAGTGACTTGGCAGAACTGTCACATCAACAAGTACAGGAAAGGTAAGCTAATATTTCAGACTGTGAAACAGGCCAGTATGTAGGGGGCTCGTGGTGCTGGGGCTTGGAGAGGGAAGTGGGTAGGACTGAGTCTCGGGTGGGGAGATCTCTGGAAACATGCTGCGTCTGTAGAAAGAGTTAGCGAAATCTACATCTATTCAGGAGCATAATGAAAGAACAGCGTGCTCCACTTCACATCACCTCCATTCAAAGACTGGGTAGGTTTTGGATCAAGCCTGTCTCTAGTCTTAAAGATCTTTATATCTTTAGGAGGTATCCTTCTCCTGAAGAAATTAACTATGGGGGGAAGGAGTAGGCCATAAAGTTCTGCTTGGCAGAGGAAGACTGTCCCAATAAATTCAGGGAGGGTTTGAAAGACTCATTTAGGAGGAGGGAGAGAAGAGAAAGATATTCAAGCATTAGCTTGGGCCAAAGGAGAAACAGCCTTGAACGTGGAAAAACATAGCAATCCCTTTGTCCTGCATGAAGCCCAGAATAAAAATCCGGTACCGCAATGTCCCTCTTAGCAAGGGATCAGAAAAGACACAGGTGAGCAAAAAAATATTGTTGGGAAAATGAGTGTTGTTTAAAGGCAGTCTAACATAAAGCAATCATGCTTGGGTACAGTCCCTGACATGCTTATTTTATAGGGGTCGAATTCATTTCAATGGAAGTCAATGAGAGCTTTGCCATTGACTTCCATGGCACAGGATTGAGATCAAGATGTGAGAAATCAAAATGATATTCATGGCCATATAATTGAACTGGAGACTTTAAAATTTCTTCTTCTGCCACCGGATTGTTTTCAGCAGTGGAATTGATACCTTACTCATCCGCATAATTAAGCAGAATATTCTCATACTCCGTGTAGCCCAGTAGCATTAAGGAGAGTTATGAATGTCAAGCACTGTTCTTTGGGATAAGAAGAAACCCTTTAACATATTCATTTTTGTTGTTTAAAAATACATTATGCTGTTAAATTAACACCAGTGTGCACCTTTCTATAGCACTGAAAATAAAAGATTGAGTAGAGACATTGATTTACAATAAAATAACAAATTATGTAGTAGCAGTTCAGCTATTAAAGAAGAAGGATGGTCTAGCGGTTAGGGGACTAGATTGGCACTCGGGAGATCTGGGTTTCATTTCTTCGTCTACCACAGCCTGGCTCTGTGACCCTGGGTAAGTCACTTAGTTTCTCCTGATGTGTCCCCATTGTGATAAAAACCCATAGCTCAGAGATCAGGTCAGCTGATTCAGGCTGCTAGTCTGAAAACTGCATTGTAGATGCCTGGGCTCTAAGACCCATCTGCCTCCTGTCCTGGGGTCATAGAGCCCAGTCTGAGCCCAAATGTCTGCACTGCAACGTTATAGCCCTGCGAGCCTGAATCAGCCGTCCTGTGCCAACCTCAGGTCTTCTACTGCAGGATAGATTACATTCTGTGTCTCAGGGCACAAGAGCTGACTTGTATTTTTCCTGGTGGGTGCTCCATCCCTGCTCTGCCCTGAGGCCCTGCCCACACTCTACCTCTTCCCACCCCCACTCTGCCCCCTCCCCTGAGACTCTGCCCTCACTCTGCTGCTTCCCACCCCCGCTCTGCCCTCTCCCTTGAGCCCCCCCGCCTGCCGCTCCCTGCTTTCTGCCTCCCCTCTCCCAAGCACCTCCGGCCTGCTAAACAGCTGATCAGCAGCCAGCCCCAGGGCCCGAATCACTGTGGCTAGTGGGTGCTGAGCATCCCCTATTTTTTTTCTGTGAGTGCTTGAGCCCCAGAGAACCCACTGAGTCGGCGCCTATTTCTCAGGATATGTTGACACTACAAAATTATATCAATCGAAGTTAGTTCGATGTACAGCCACTGCAGTAATTAAATCGCTTTGGCATGTCCACACTATGCTCCTTGTCTTGGCAGTGAGTGTCCTCACCAGGAACACTTGCACCAATTTAACAGTCAGCGTGGGGCATTGTGGGATGGCTTCTGTAAGGCAGCAAACAGTCAATGTAAGTAACCTACACTGACACTATCGACCTAACTATAGCAACCTAAGTGCTACACCTCTCGTGGAGGTGGCGTTATTAAGTCAGAGTATGTCTACACTTATTGGGGATTGACACTGCGGCGATCGATCCACCGGGGGTCAATTTAGCGGGTCTAATGAAGACCCACTATATTGACGCAGATCGCTCTCCCATCAACTCCGGTACTCCACCGGAACAAGAAGCATAAAGTAAGTCAACGGGAGAGTTTCTCCTGTTAACCCAGCGCAGTGTAGACACCGCAATAAGTCGACTTCAGCTACGTCGACTCCAGCTACATTAATCACATAGCTGGAGTTGCGTAACTTAGGTCGACTTAACCCGGTAGTGTAGACTTGCCCTCAGTGTAGTGGGCAAATTACATTGGTGGTAGCTACATTTTAGTGTAGATGCTTACAGAGTTAGCTTGACTAAGCTGCCTTGCGTCGACCTAACTCTGTAGCATAGACCAGGGCTTAGTTCCTCATCTGTGCAATGGGGATAATAGTGCTGCCTTACCTAAAAGGGGTGTTGTGAGAATAAATACATTACAGAGTGTGAAGTCCTTGGATACTATAGACATTGGGGGGTTGCAAAAGTACGTAAGGTGTGAACTTGAAATTCGGCAAGCTTAGTTCCACCCTTTAAAAGACAAAAGTTTTTTTTATGGTGTTGTGGAAAAAAAATAGCACAAATCAAATGACTTTTTGTTCCACAGCTGTAAAAAAAACAAAAACAAAAAAAACCAAACAGCAACACAAAAAAACTATTTGTTTTTGTGTGCTTTTATAGATTATATTTATCAGTTGATATTTCAGAAAAACTTGTAATGACACTTTTTCCATATATACAAGAGTCATTTCATCCTGCACCTAATTGCAGTTATTTCTGGGGTGGAGCTAGGTAATACAACATAAGAGTTTAGAACAGGAAGTAAGAAACGATACTGTATCCAACTGAAATGACCATAATGTTCTTTATATATCTGTAAGGTTATGACCTAGTGTAAATTATAATCGAGGGCTTTTACCAATCACGTCTTTTAAGGTGAATGTGACAGCAGATTGCCACATGCGTAAGTGGTAGTAGGAGTTATCTTTAGCTAAGACAATTTAAACTAATTAAAATAATTTGTAATCATTCTCTTCTTGGAGTAAATAGGCAAAATTAAAATATCAGAGAGTGCTGCAGATCAGGACTGAGGTGCACTGACAGAACTGTCTGGGGACAGGATTGGGGTAGCAGGAAATGCTGCAAACCAAGAATGAGGAGTGTTGGCGTAGCTGTGAGGGCAGCCAAGTTTGGATTATATGGGATACTTCATGTCATTAATGAAGTGTATTAACACTATTAATGTATACGTGCTCAGCACTGGAATAGCAGAGGATTTAGCAATTCAGGGATGAGGTGTGTTGGCATTACTGGTCTCTATGCTGCTTGTATCCTGTCAATGCCATTAGTTTCTCATTTGCGTGATCACTAAATTCAATCAAATGAAAAAAACACAAACCAAACTATCAC